AGAGGGGGCAGAGTGGGAAGTCATTTTCCTCTCTGGACCCTGCAAATTCTGGAGAGTGGGGAGGATCTGCAGGATGTCTCAGTCTCTGCTGAGTTCTCAGAGTGTAGACTCTATGGTGGGGGGGTACTTCACCAAGGCCATGACTAACATGGGAGACAGGGTCCTGGCTGCAGAGTATGCGGAGGACCCAGGAAGGCCAAGTATTGAGATCTGTTGGGGGAAAATGGAGGGATATAAGATTTAAGATACTACCAATCACCAGGATTGAGTGAAGGGCAGAGAGTGAGTTCTCTGAAAGTCCAAGAGCATCATGAGTAGGACCTGGGTTCTGGAGTCTTTGAGGGAGCATTTGAAAGGAGAGCTCTCAAGGGATCTGGTTGCACTGACCCTGTTCCTGCTCCTTTTAGATCTAAAAGCCTGTGAGAAGAAGCCCAGCGTAGATCTTTGCAGCAGTCATTGTTCGTATTTTCTAGATTGTCCACGAGAAAATACTATATGCTGTTCAACCTACTGTGGGAATGTTTGCATGAGCCTCCAGTGAGTGGGTGAGGGGGCTGGGCTGTGCCTCCTGTTCCCCCAACCCTTTTTGCAGACCAAATCAGGAGGATCTCAGATCCCGGGCACCAGGATGCCAACAGGAATGCACCCTCCCCCGTCTGAACTGCTTGTTCCTGTCAAATAAACCAGAACAAATGTCCACAGACCTGCTCATTTTAGTCCCAGTGCTTGTGATCATCGAAGACCCAGTGCACACCCCAAAGTGGCCCCCTCTCTTGGTCCAGGTCTCTGATCTCTCTCCCCTTGTCATTCTTCTCTAGTCTCTCTCCCGTTGGCCCCTGCACCCCTGCCAGGTCCCCAGGGCCCAGCCTCATTGTTGATCTGCTCACTGAACCAGTACTCCCAGGGAGAAACTGCTCATGTATGGTATCTCCAATGCTAACCAGAACATTCCTCAGCCTGGGGTCAGAAGGGCCAAGTTAAACATGAGGCAGGTGGAGGCTAGACCCTGGCCACAGAGTAGGAGGTCCCCGGGGAGGCTTCTTCTTAAACTTGACCCACCCCCACCCCATTCTCCCCATTCTCCTCGTGAGGTTCAGATAACTGTCCTTTTACAATGAAGAAAACCAATCCGAGGGAAGTTAAGGCACATGCTCGAGGCAAAAGAGAGTGAGCGGTCATGATGTGGCTAGAGGAGGATGTTTGTCTGGACCTCCTGTTTGCTCACAGCTCCTCCATTATGGGGAGACCATGTGCATGGAAGTGAGTGTCCGCACTAACATCTCCCACCCCATCCACCATCAATATGGCCCCTCTTGGGATGGGGCCTAGAACGAGGTGCCAGGACCTGAGACTCCAGGGCCTTCCCTCAACTGAATAGTCCCCACCTTTCCCCAAGCCCCCTCCATAGGGTCTCATTCTCTCCCTTTTCTAATCCAGGGAGAAACCACATGGTGGGCAACAGGTGATTAAAGGTGATGCTACTAAGGATCAATTGGCTACTAAGGGTGGCTATGGGTGTTGCCCATGGCCTCAGGGAGAATCGGTGGACCTTAATCACTGAGGGACAGACTCCGGACCACTCTGTGCAAGCACAGCTACTCTGAGGTGGTCCTGGGGCTAAATCCAGGGACTAGGTGCCCAGTGGGGACATGGAGTCAAGTGGGAAGAACCCCAGCAGGCAGGCAAGTGGGCCTTGCTGGAGGTAGGTGTGCAGCGTCACACTCCAGTCCAGTGTTTCCTGCTGGGCATCAGTGAAGGATTGTCCAGAGGAGGAAACCCGCCTCTCTCAGGGCAGAGCCTCTAGCCCACCTCAGAAGCATCCCAGGGCTCCTGGTATCAGAGGAGCTTCTCCACCTCTCCTCGGACCTGCCCTTAGACCAGGAGACCTTAGGAAAGAGATCATGATCAAGCAGCCCTTGGACCAGGAGACCTTAGGAAAGAGATCATGATCAAGCAGCCCTTGGACCAGGAGACCTTAGGAAAGAGATCATGATCAAGCAGTAGCACAGACATCATCAGACACGGGTGGGCGGTGAGAGCATGCTCTGCAGGAGCTCTGCCTTGGTGCTTCCTCACATAGCCTGACTCTGCAAGCATCTTCCCAGTGCTTGGCCATGCTCCAAACACCCTGGGAGAGACTATTAAGAGACAAGGCAAGGTTACCTGCCAGGGCCCACATAGGGAGTGACCTTCCACTTCTACAACCAGTGCTCCCTACCATGTGGGTACACCATGCTGCCGGCTGACCTATTCCTTACCACTGGCATGAGCACCTCGGACCATGAATTCTCCTGGAAGCAGCTGGTCTTCTCCATTGTGATAACTGGTGTCCTGGCTGTGTTCCACAGAGCTCTCTGGACACTCACTCTACCCTGCCCCAGTGGACTCAGAGGCTACACCTAGAATGCTTTGACTGGAGGAGTGCTTGCCTGGCCAGCACTCCATGTTCTGTGCTATGAAACAGCTGTGTGCCCCTATGGTAGGTCGAGGGGAGGAGTGGGGGACCCCTGCAAGACCTTGACTCTCATGGAGGCAGAGGAGGGAGCTAACGTAAATTATGCCTTGACTTGGGTGTTCAAAAAGCCAAGTCCCAGCCTGTGGAGAATTGTTGATCAGGCTGGTCTGTCTGTGACAAATACACGGCCTCGAGGTTGTCATGGTTTCTGCAGTAATTGTTCTCTCCTCATGCTCCAGCCATGCTCCTTCTCTATGTCAGTGCAGATGGGAGGACTCTAGAAGTATCTTCCACATCTCATACACCATGATGATGGTCAACTCCTGCCTCATATCCATCCTTTGGGTGCCCCCAATGCTCACAAGTGGGTCATACTGATGCCTGCACCCACCAAGTGTGTCCCACCACCGCCTCTGGTAGTAAACTGTGTCATAACAAACCCAGGGTGCCTAAATCAGGAGCTATAGGAAGTTATCTGGAATGCAAGTGTTGGCTTTAGGTGCTGAGTGCAAGATCTACCACTAAGAAATGCTCTTTGGCCCAAATATAATTAGAATGGGCATATGGGCATGACATGCAGGATTTAAGGAAGGCTCTATCTGAGGAAGTTATTTATAAGCCTAAATCCTACCATTAAAATTACATTCTCTAGGAGTGTATACCTATCAGTGAGTGTAGTGTCTGTCCAGTGTCTTAGCTTGGGAAGGGTTCACTTCCTGGAAAGCATTAGTGGGTGGGTGTGAGAAGGTAGAAGAATCTACATGAGAGAACACCATGCATCTGAATTCTAAGGATATTCTGGGTCACTGTTGCTGGGTATATGGAGGTTCCTTTTTATGTGGATTCAGGTTTCCTTTATTGATGGAATGCTTTCTAGTTTTAAATATTGTTAACTTTGTGGGGGTTTTTTTGAAAACTCCAATTATATTTATTTATTTAGGTTTTCTTTATCCATCTTCTTTATTAATCTTTCTCTCATTGTTTTTACTTTTTGCATTTTATTTTGCATTTATTTCTTTTTTTAATTTAAATTCAATTAGCCACGGTATAGTACATCATTAATTTTTGATATAATGTTCAGTGATTCATTAGTTGAATATTGTCTTCTTTCATTCTTTTTCAATGCCTCTTGTAGTTCAGCTGAATTTATTCTGTCTTGAAATCTTGTAACAATCTTTATTTCTGAGATGACCTTTAACTTTTTCTTTGATTTTTTTCTGTCCACCTCTTATTTCAGGTCTTCCTGGATTTTTGGCTACTTATGTGCTGAGTTTTTAAATTTCTGATTCAAGGTATTTTTTTATCTGTTAAAATCTTTGTTTACAGATGTTTATTTAATTAAAGTTGCAGGTGTTGTATTTCCCTTCTCCCTGACAAGATGTTTCTGGTGGGAGATTTTTTTTCACAGAAATGTTTCCATTTTCATTCATTCTGTTTTCTTTAATAGTAGTTTTACATTGAAGTTGTCTAATATTTTTTCATTAACTTTCTAACATCTTGTTTTAATGGACCAGCAGAGACAGTTTTATGCTCAAATTGTTCTAGGCTTTGGCCACTGGGAACTCTTTAAGGTTGTTTCCTGTTTCCCATTCTTTGACTTTATAACATTTCCTTACTTTCTGACCCTAAAAGATACTCCAGTGTCATCTTGTATTTTCTAAGCCTAGTTCTAGAATCAGCCATTTCTCCAAGAAGCCTTGGTCCATTTATTGGAGAATGGTAATAAAAACCAAGATCTGGGCTCCTGGTGTGCTTATTGCTACTGAGTTATCACTGTTCCCAGGCATAGCCAGGAAATATACACATGTGTAACTAATCCATGTATACACTCATCTATTTTACTTCTGCATCTCTCTGTATATATATTGAGCTGAATGAGGGTTCATATTGATGTCTCTGACTCGAATCCAGTATCCCCAGGGCTCATCTAGCCTTCCATTTTGCTTATTTGTAACTTCTTCTCTCTTACAGTTAGAAACAAGGCTCCCATCATCCCCGGTTATTTACTTATTTGTCCAATCTTATATATTATCTTATATACATCTTATATACATGTAAAGTCATTTTAGAATTTTTACGCAGGGGTGCCTGGGTGGCTCAGTCGGTTAAGTGTCCCTTTCTTGATTTTGGCTCAGATCATGATCTCAGGATCATGGGCTAGGCATGAGGCCTGCTTGGGATTCTCTCTCTCCCTCTCCCTCTTTCCCTGCCCCCTGCTCATGCACGCTTTCTCTCTCTCTCTAAAAAAAAAAAAAAAAAAAAAAGAATTGTTTACCCATACCCTGTGAGAAACAAATTTACCAGAGATCTGCTCTCTGAAAAACCAAATGAAAGAGCTACTTGCCAGTTACCCATATGAAAATGACATACTAGAAATAAACTTCTATTTTGTGAAACCCATGAGATTAGCCTCAGTTCTAAGGTAATCAAATGAGGAAGCAAGAGTTAGAAGCTATGTAGCCTGTAGGATGTGAACAATTTGGGGGTATAATAGGGCAATCAAAGAGAGTGGAAGGGAGTTGAAAAAGCCAAAGCCACTGCTGATAAATGAGTTTATTTGTCAAGGATTTGCTCTTGCCCAGCCCTCAGTGTGAACAGACTGGTGTCCTGCTGGGAGGTTAGGGTTTAGACCTCATGCAAAGATTTCCTGCAAGACAGAAAGGTTATATACTCAGAGGCTAAGGGAACTCTGAGGAACAAGCATTCATTCCCAAGCTTAATATTACCCATCCCCACCAAACGCCCGACCTGAGTACTTTATGTAACACCAAGAATTGTACACTTCTGGGGTGGGGAGGTGGGTTTGGTTCATTGAACAGAGAAATGTAGAGATTTGGGGCCTGGCTGGGCCAAAAGGATTCATTGAAAGGTCTGACTATGGAGGCAACGATTAGAAATTTGGACAAAAATTGGGAAGAGAGCAAACAATTGAGTAATATAACGAAGACAACATAGGCATTGATTATATAATGAAAGAAACAATGTGCCCCAAGCTGGTGTCTTAGTTTATTTGCCACTGAACTGCTGTCCAGGCTTAGGGGATATTATCATCCACTATTTTTGTGCCTAGGATTTGGGGTGCCTCAGTCTTCTGTTTATGAATAACAGCATCTGAGAATCAGTGAAGACCCATGCCCAAGCACACCTCCCAACTCACTTTATTTTTCCAACAGATGTTTCCACAATAGGTCCAGCAGCATGTGTAATTTTTGTTTGTACATTTAAGGGCTCTAGAGCACTTCTTGGTACATTCAATGACACTTGGCTCTCCCCAGCACTCCTCAATGAACATTTCATCCCCTGTAATTGACATGAGATAGAAAGAGGCTGACAGGGGCCACATAGCCAAGGTGGGAAGAGAAGTCCTTCATAAGCTGAACAGCCCCTTCTAGAATCCTAGCCCCACCCAGGTATCCATCTGCCTTATGAGAAAATCCCTGTTGAGCCTCCTCGTTACATCTTCACAGATCTCTGCCTTCTCTGCTCCCACAGGCCTCTGGGCCCTCGTCAAGCCTCCTAGATATAGGATTCAGCATAACCCCCCCCCCACACACACACACACACTCATGTGTCCTCCTATAAAATCTACATTTCTGTAATAGGAGACCTCAGGGCCCAAGGCAGCCTCTAGCCTCATTACTATACCTACTTCCTAGTGTGGGAAGCCAGCCCAGGGAGAATAAGGAACAGATTCTCTCCCTTTTTCTTCTCTTTCTTGTTGACCCTGCCTTTAAGAACAGCTTCTCACCAAATTTTTCTCTTTCTCACCCATTTTCTTGGCACCCTCCACTGATTCCATTTTCTCATCATATGGCCCTCAACTTTGCCCCACTAGAGACACATCTCATGTCTCTTTTCTATCTTTTCACATTCTAAAAGATCTGCCACTGAAACTAAGGGTATATATTAAGAAATCCCCCTATAGTACTCATCGAAGTACACACAGCTAAGACACAGAGCTTCTGGAGATATGGAAAGATATGGTAGCCTGACATGGAAAAATAATATGTCTTTATAACTAATTGAATATATATAAAAGGTGACAGGTACCCATTGCCACTTTCAAGGTTGGAAGAAGAAGCATTGAAGGACCTCAACTTGGACATTCCTTAGATCTCTGTGCATAAAAAAAGTCTCTGAAACTTTAATAGGTGACCCAGGGAAGGTGGGTCCTGAGTCCTGAGTCAGATGTGCCAGACACAATACCCCTTCGCTTGTCCAGGAACAAGCACAGTACCCCCAGGACATAGCACCCCCACCCCCAGGCTAATCACTTACAGCTGTATTTTTCCTTCATCACTCCCAGCACAGACAGTAGCTCCATACAGAGGAATGTCACGAGTTGAGGTGTCCAGAGCTTCATGATGCTGACTGTATGTGTCTGAATATATACTGTCAGGATGTTTATCCCCTTTCCAGTTGCTGCTGGAAATCGAGAGATATAAACAGAGTTGTGAAGCAAGAAGAAGCGCTTATAGAAATTCTTTACTCTTTGTCTACTTATTCTTCCTTGCCCCCCACCCACCCAACAACAGGCACACACCTAAGCTGAACACTGGCTTTGCTAAAAGGTTTCTCTGCATCTCACACTTCATGCTTTCCTTTTATAGAAAAAAAATTATTTTAAAAATGTGTTGCCTTCCCTTGATGAAAAGATAATCCAAATCCAGCTGATAAAATACTTAAAACATAAAAAAGTACAAAGAAGACAATGAAATATTTCTAGCACCCCCACTATGTTGGACTATGTTATTCTGTCTTCTATATGTGCACATAAAACTGAAATCATACCAGGCTTGCTGTCTATATCTTGACTTTTTATTTAAAAATGTGTAACATGATATTCGGGGCGCCTGAGTGGCTCAGTCAGTTAAGCATCCGACTCTTGATTTCTGCTCAGGTCATGATTTCGGGGTCGTGAGATTGAGCCCTGTGTCAGGCTCTGTGCTGAGCTTGGAGCCTGCTTAAGATTCTCTCTCTTCTGCTCCTCCCCCACCCCCCGGCTTGCATGCTCTCATTCTCTCTCTCTCTAAAAGAAAATTTTAATTAAAAAATTTTTTAAATAATAAAAATATGTAACATGATATTAAAATTAAAGTTTTGGCCAAGACCTTTGGATAGCCCCTAAAATGAGCTTGTGAGACGAGTCAACTTAAGATTTAAAGAAAATCTGCTCAAAAATCACCTGCAAAAAATACGTCAAGTACCTGGCCATTTTCCACATTTAAAACAAGTCAGGATTTTAAGAGTCACCAACCCCTTTTTCGTCATCTTTCTCTCTTGTTTTTAAAGAATGTTGTGCTCTTTTAATTCCAAGTCACTAGAAAGGCTTTAAGAATACCTCCCATAGAGCTTTATATGTGCCCCAAGGTTTTGTGGAGACATAGGCAGATGTCTGAGTCACACCAGAGAAACAAAGGGTAGGAGGCTGGCTGAAGTGACTTATGGCCACAGCAAGAGGCTAAGCCTCCGCTATGGCATTTGATAAGGCAATGTATGCAAGAAAGCCAGTGTGGATTTGCACTAGATTCATGTCAGGCAGGCTACCTGGGAAGGCCATGGGACCTCAGCAGAAGGAAGTAGGAAGTGACTGGTCAGATGCCTAGGGTCTGGGAAAAGTGTCAGAAAGGAGGTGGGTTCAGCCGTATCAAGACAACCACAGGTAAGAAACTTCCATAAGTTGGGGTTGGGGGAAGACTCAAAGAACCCATGAAACCACCACCAACAGAGTCAACTATAAGGAATACTAAGCCCAGAAAGCACAAAGCACAAAAGTACAATACTCCCTGCCAGAAAGAACTGTCCTGACCTCCTCATCTCTTCTCCCTTGTCCACTTCCAAAATGTCACTTAGCCATCTGCAGGAGGAGAGGAAAACTGGTCACTCTCTTCCCCAATTGCAGGTTTCTAGGTGTGGCGGAAGCCACGATTTTAATTCAATTTTAGTATTTTGACTATTGCCTGGGCTTAGACTTTTTTTTAATATATTCTAAGTTTAGGCAGTGTCTAGAAAATTGAAGTTCTATACCCAAGCTCTCATACAGAGGCAGGAAAAGAAGTCACTTTAATGAGTAAATTTAAATGAGACAAAGGGCAAACTTTTCAACAGATTATCAGTAACACTCCCTGTGAATATTTTCCCAATATGCTAGTTACACATATCATTCAAATGGTCCCATTGATCATAAGACATCTGAAAATTTATAATTTCTCTTCTTCAGAAAAAAAAAAATCAATAGGCACCAACTTGCAACTAAAATTCAGTTAAATCTGGTATTAGCTTCAGAGCACAAATGTAGAGATCTAGAAGTGCTGAGTAAAGGGTACTGCCTATTTCAAACCCTACATAGCTGTTGCCAGTTTTCTTCTCCATTAAGACTGGTTTATTGTGCCCATCTTGTCTCACCATAAAAAGGAAATTCTCTCCCACTTGTTACCACACTGAAGACTGTCAGTATTGTGTAGAACAGAGAACAAAATATCGGCACTGGAGTCAGAGAGACCTGGGTTTGAAACCCAACCCCAACGCACTGAGCTTAATTTAAGTTTTGGGATTGGTCTACTACCTAATTTCTCAGAGCCTCAGCTTCCCCACCTGTAACATGGGGGCAATGTTAGAATCCACATTGCAAATGTTGAGTCTATGAAGCACCAAGCATAGGGTCTGGCACACAGAATGTGCAAAACAAATGGCCGTTATTGTTGTTATTTTTAGGCTCAGACTCTTTTCTTCTCTAGAGGAGTGAATGTTCATCTCATTAACTTTATTGTGGTCTTTTCTTTAAAAAAAAAAATTTTAACCTATTTGAAATTAATTCTGGTGAGTAAGTGGGGGCCCATATTTCACTCATCTGTCCTCAATTTATTCATCCCACAAATACTTATATTTAATGACTACTATAAGCCACTCTTTCAAACACTGAGGATACAGTAACGAACAAAATTACAAAAAATGCCTGTCCTTGTAAAGCTTACATTCTAGTACAAGGGACAGAAAATAAACAAGATATATAAAAGAAATACATAATAATAGATGGATATCAATGTGAAAGAGGAAAGATAAGAGAGGGTCAAGGACCTGGAACACAGAATATGTAAAATAAGTGCTAACTGTTATTTTAGGCAGCTCACTAGTGATGAGATTCAGGGTTCTGAAGGAAGAGGTTATCTACTGTTCCCCCAAATTTTCAGTCCTCTCCCCACTTCTCTCTCACTCCCAGTCTGGTGCTTCACACTCCCGAGGCCAAACAGAAGGACAGATAAAGGAAACAAAGATAAAAGAGAAGTCTGGATACTATGAATTATATAGTCACAGGAGAGTAATTGTCTCTTTCCTGGCAAGTGACCAATTTTCCCTCAAAATCTTTATTTTTGCTTCCACATTTTCAACAAAGCAGAAGATAACCTACATACATTGGTTGAAATCTCTTCAAATGCTCAAAAATAGACACAATATGTAGAGACGTTCCCAAAGGTGCAAAACTCTTTAGAAGGGCTAACTTATTCTCTTCCTTGGCATATGTGAAAAGTTAGAAAATAAGAAAATAAAATTTGAGGCATGTGGACCATTAGATGAGTTGTCTTTAACTTTTTAAGAACTATTCTTTGGAAATAATTCCAAAGTTACAAGTAAGAATAGTACCAAGAGCATCTGTATACCATTTGCTTAGGATCACCTATTTTAAGAATTTATCCATAATTACCTCCTCTTTCTCTCCCCTCCTCCATCTTACATATATATATTTCATATATATTTATATATTATATTTTTATGAACAACTTGAGAGTAAATATCACATATCATGGCTCTTATTTAGGAATAATATTTCAGTGAGTATTATAGTAGGGACATTCTCTTACATGATCATAGTGCAATTAATCAATTTCATTAAATTTAACAGTGGTAAAATATACTTTTCTGTATTTACCTAAGCTACCATCAGTTTTCCATTTTATAAATTCACCCAATAACATCCTTTGTCTCTTATGACACTGAAATTTTTGAAGAATACAGCCAAACTTTTTTTTAGTTGAACATTCCTCATTTTGTGATTTGTCTGAAATTTCTTCATGATTAGACAGACTCAGGTTATACATTCTCAGTGGGAATACCTAGGTAGGCATTACATAGTGTCCTTCTCAGGATATCACATGTGAAGGGACACAGTGTTCATCTACGTCATCTTTCTCTCTCTTTCTCTTGGTTTCTCCATTTTTTTAAGATTTTATTTATTTATTTGAGGGGCACCTGGGTGGCTCAGTCATTAAGCATCTGCCTTCTGCTCAGGTCATGATCCCAGGGTCTGGGATCGAGTCCCCATCAGGCTCCCTGCTCCGCAGGAGGCCTGCTTCTCCCTCTCCCAGTCCCCCTGCTTGTGTTCCCTCTCTCACTGTTTCTCTCTGTCAAATAAATAAATACATAAATAAATACATAAATAAATCTCTTTTTTACAAATTTTATTTATTTATTTGAGAGAGAGAGAGAGCATGACAGGGTGAGAGGGCAAGAGGGAGAGAGAAGGAGGGGGCAGACTCCCCACTGAGCAGGGATCCTGTCACAGGGCTCAATCCCAGGACCCCGAGCTCATGACCTGAGCCAAAGGTAGATGCTTAACCGACTGAGCCACCCAAGTGCCCCTTGGTTTCTCCATTTGAACAACAAAGATAAGAATCTCTTCCATACAGGGATAGTGTTGGCATGCTCTGGAGCATGATTTGGACAGGGAACTCATCCAACCAAGCCACAAACAAGTGTTTGCTGGTTCCCACTTCTAGCCCCAGGACTCTGACCTCTACCTACCTCTGAAGATGTTCAAGTTGGAAGTTCTGGTAATTATTTGGCTGGTGGATCTTCTTCCTGGCTTCTGGGAACCACAGAGCCCCTGCACAGGGCAGATGATGAACAGAACAGATTTTAAAGACTCAGAATATAATCATGGTCCTGGCTGTGGCAGATCTGTGAGTTCTGCCCCAAGCTATAGTTGGGTACATTCAGAACATTATCACTGAATTCCTATTCAAAGAGTACTTCCTTTTTTCTTTTTTTGCAGCAGAGAATATAGTCTGAAACAGAACACTGTGGAATTGCAGGAGACTCCTCTCCACCAACACATACATTTCTGGAAGTCTGGGCGATTGTGGAGGTGGGAGAGGATTTATGTATCTATTTTTCTCCAGCATCCGTGTGAAGACTTTGTAAAGCCCCATCCATCCTTGATACTAATTTCTCCATTGCTAGCATTAGCCTACATCTACCTTATCACCAACATCTTGTGGCTTTTGTGCTGATAAGAAGAGAGAGGTCTACCAAGAGAGCTTGCAAAAGGCTACATAACATAAAGATTTAAAACGCAAACTTAAGCTGGATCCAAATCCTAGCTCCCACTTAACTTTGGGCAAGTCACTAACCCTCTCTGTGCCTCAATT